AAGTCTTCCAAGTGAATAGGGTAAGGGTATCTGATATTGAGAAGATTCCTCCACCAACCAACGATCTATGAGGATGAGACAAAGGAAGAATACCGTGCTAGGAAGGGGGATGGTGGATGTCTTGGTACATCAAGTTCGACGACAAGTTAGTAACGAGATCGATGGATGGTAGGTTAGTGTGAGGTATGCTTTTTAGCCGGTGGTTGATACTATACCGTTTATAGTAACCTGGGTTTTTGTTCTTTTAATTTTTGTCAATGGCATCTTTATAAACGCTGGGATCGTTTGATATTATCTGTTCTCTCTTTGGGACAGTACTGTCATTTTTCCCCGCTTAGTTTGCAGTGCTAGAGTTTTGTTGTTCTGTGGTATCGGCCTGCTTGCCTTCCTCTGCAAGTGCCTTGGTTGCGGATTTGACATTAAGTGTGCTGCAGGGTGGAGTTTGTAAACAATGTTTTCGGTTTTGTGCATGGTGGTTGTTGGTGCGAGGCATTTTTTGTGCATTACATGCATTTCGACGAGGAAGAAGCGATAACGTTAGCAGTAGAAGGCAGACGAGTTTGCGAGCCATTTAACCTTGGCTTTTCAGCCCTGTGATGCACAATAAATCACATGGTTTTCTGAATGACATCTTAGTTGCTTTTTAATAGTAGTTTACGGTAAATTATGCATAGAATTGTATCAGCTCAAAGTAAAAGTGCTTTATTATATAGACCATTATTAAATTATAGGGATGTTCACTGATTAGTCACTTAATTGGTTAACTGTTGAGTAGCTCTTAGCAGACTGTAGTTGGTCTTCTTTGTTTATTCTGGTCATGTTAGCACTTTATTTTCAAACTTAGCTTTGAGACTCGATAATCAAAAACAAATAAAATAGGACTCTTTGAACGTTGCTACAGAGTACACACATTATAGAAAGTTGTTGTTTCTCAATTTAGATTTAATTTTTTCTTGCAATCGGTGTCAGAAAATACATTTTTAGTCTGGGGCTTTAGTCAGGCCTTACTTGTTAGCCAGTAGTTCCTACTTGTTATAGCCTATGGTGTTGAATACAGAAGAGCAAATGGAAATATTTTTTTGTATCTTTAATGCTTATAGGTTTTTTGCTTAGTTATTTATATGAACATTGTTTCAAGTCAAGGCTAGATGTATGATGAATTGATCTTGTGCATTCAGTTTTTTTCTATGTAGGCTAGGGTAGGTATTAGAAGCAATTAACCCCCGGCGAGAATGATAATTGGCCAAAGTCAATTAATTGAAACACTTCAGTATTTGAGGAAGCAGGGTGTCTTGTTATTGTAGTCTTGTCATAAAAACTTCTAAGGTTTTTTCCCAGACAGATGTTCTTATTATAGAGGGACGATGGGATAGATACATATAAATATATATTGTCTTTTGGTTATTAGCTTTTATTGGATTGATGAGAACCATTTTCAAAACTGTTGGAAACTCCCTAATACTCCTGAACTTTCATGCTTTTTAAGTAGGATGAAGAACTGATAAATGTATATATAGTTAGTCAGGAAAGCGGCTTATCTTGTTGAGGAATATGAATTACTTTGAAAATTTCTAACCAGGCCTGCTGGTTGGCATCCATGCTACCATAATGTGAGATTTTTCAGTTTTCTGTTATTTCACCATCAGGTTACTTGCTTTTTAATAATATCTATAGAGTAGTATTCATAAAACAAATTACGAGCGGTTGGTTTTTTTAAGAGGGGATCAATTGTCACCTCAGATATTAGGGGCTACCCCCTACCCCAGTTGTCAGCCAAGTAGAAAGTTTTGTTTCATGATGTACAAATCATTTAACTGCTGATATTTTCTCTTAATTTGAAAAATATGAAGATCATATATGTTTTAATACCTTTTTTCAGTTTGGGATTTTACCCCTTTCTTTCCATGACCTGGTAAATGAAATGGATAAGTTGGTGGTAATATATAACTGAACTTGATTAACAGAAGGTTTTTAGTTTTATAATACAGTCAGCGTTTTTAGATTAACTATGTAAGAGATATATATATATATATATATAGGGTATTTTGCATGGTAAGTGTTTGAAACATAAGTATATTTAAGGCATTGAGTCATGATAAATGGATTGGGTATCCTAAGTGGCCCAATCGCTGAATATGATTTTGTTATGATTGCGATTTTTTGGCTGTGAGCTGAGCTGGTCATTGAACTACTCGTAGCTGATTGACATAACAATATTTCATCAAGCGTATGTCAAAAAGTATCAAGTTGTAATGAGCAGGGATCACCTGAACAAATGACCCTTAGAAGGTTATTTGACCTATGACAATGCTATTTAAAGGTAGCTTTGCAAGTATTTTTTAAAGCATCTTTTTGGTAAGTTTGAGTTTCATTTTGTAACAGTACTCTGATTTAGGTTTGTAATTTATAAGAAGTGGATATATTTGCTTTATGCCTTTTAAATTCTATTTTGCGTTACTTAGAAACATGGTAATTATCTTTTTTTTATGTAGCCCAGTTATATTATTACTCTTGTTTTGTTTAAGTAGTGGTATATTAATTTGTGTTTATAGTAGGCTTGGGTGATTAATGTCATCATATTACAGAATCACACGTCTTGTGTTTATTTTAATAATGAAGTAATGGTGTTGCTCATTCTTCAATAGTTTTGTGTTATCCTTAAATTTTTTAGATTGGTAGTTTTTTTGATCAATCTGGTGGTAGCTATTCTTTTTTCTATTATAGGGGCTTTCAAAAATTTTTTTGTTTTAGCCCAAACCCTTTTACATAGGAATTTTTTTTCATTTTCAATCAGACTTACTATTTGTTGCATAACAATTCTGTGACATATCTAAGTAAATATAAACTAGGTCTTCTTTTCATAATACACAATGCTTGCCAAAAGTCTTGATACACTAATGTCAGTTTCCAAGGGCAAATTGAGCCATTCATCTTCCCCCCTTTTAACAATGTTAGTTTACTACAAAACGACATAGGGGATTAGAAAAAACGCTTTTTCTGTGACTTCTATGATATTTTTCAAAATCATCAACATTGATTAGAGGGGGAATTGGTTACTGAAATAGGAGTATCTGGGAAAAGAATTGAAAAATATAAAAGCACAACACAAATTGCTGGGTGTTCCAAGTCTTTTTGGCAATGATTGCAGTTTGCTTTTCTACCTTTTCAGACAACGTTTTTAATTGAGTACTTTTACTTAAATATAATGAATATAAATATGAAGAAGTATAATACAAATTTTTTCTTGGAAAGAAAGCTGCTTAGTACAACTGGAGGTGTTGAGATTTTGTTCGACATAATTTTATAATTTATTTATTGTTCGTTCTTTGATGATCTATCTATGTGTTGTACCATTTGTATTTATTATCAAAGCACATCAAAAGCCAATCTGAAGGGGCCACTCTATTTATTTTTGAGAGAAAGTACAGAAAATATTTTTTGACACTTGGATATTTCTGTCAAGCAATAATTCTGGACAAAATTATTTCTGCAATCAGTCAAGCAATGATTCTTTCCATTCTTCTTCTTAACACTAAATATTTTAATTCTGATTTGTCAATCTTCTTCTCGGTCATCAATGTTTTTGCTTCATACATCGTCACCAGAGTTTTCTTCTTTTCTCTTAGCTGTAGTTATTGCTAGACTCTTTCTCTTTTCTTTACCGTTTTTTCTTTAAGCCACATTTACACGAGCAAGTTTTCCTTGACAAGATTTCTTTGAGAAGTTAATTTTGTTCGTGTAGATTTGGGTATATTGAGGAAAAGTGACAATTTTTTACTTGACAAGTGTATTTGTTCAAAAGCTGGCGTGCCAGTTTTTCAGCAAGTTCACTTGTCCATTATAAAATTGTCATTTGCAAAACTTGTCCGTGTAGATGACTTGACAAGTAAACCTGACAAATTTGACTCAATTCCAGACCTTTTCTTTTCTGACAATTGCTTGTTCTTGGACGATCAAGGAACGCCAATGCTTTTAATACTCTGCAAAGCCGTGAAAGCTTTCGGAATACAAAGGCAGAAAGTTGTAAAATTGGAACATCAAGAATAATGAGTAGACGCAGTATAAGAATGGGTATACAGATATTAAAGGAAAAAATTCCAGGGATTTCCCATCCACGAATAAAAGTGTCTTCTTCGTTAAAGGAGCTATTTTTTGCAAGAAAATTTAACGCGAAAAACGTGCTGCGTCGCAAAAACCGAGGCTAACCTATAAACTTCGCTGGCCAAAACGATTGTCAGAGCAAATAGATATTGTGAACGAGACTTGTTGTCTTTCTACACGAGCAATTAAAAATTGTCAAGTAAAAAATATCAAGCAAAATTTTTTTGCTAATCTACAAGGGCAAGGAAACTTGTCAAAGAAAATTACCAGGAAAAAATTGCTCGTATATATGCGGCTTAAATGTTTCAAAAAGTCTTGTGTTTTTGCAACTTTATGTGTCTTAAACTTATACCAAGTGGTGTTTGGGCCTGGGACGCTCCTGCGTTTTGCGACCTGCCCTATAATGGCGGACAAACAGGGCCTAGCTGTGAGCAACAATTTATTGATTTACCTCTATCCAATCCAAGAATATTAAGTAACGCCTGAAAGATAAATTGAATGGATTCAAGAATGGATATTCATCACATCATTGAAAGCTGTCTAGGATCTCGATCCACCAAGAAACGCAGAGAAGATTTTTGCACTTGAAACTAAACAATGAATCAAACAGGCCCAAATCAGCTCATTTTAAACTCTCAAGCAATTCTGACCCTTTGACAGCCAAACACTTCTGTCTTTTTGACCCTTTGCCTTTTATTTCAATATCTGCTGTAAATTCTCATTTTCCAGTGTCAATCAGATAACTGCAATCTTTCTGTCTTAAGACAATTTTCTTCTCCATTTTTTGAGTTACACAATGCCCGACAACCGATTGGTCTTTCAAAGTGTCACGAGTTGGATAATGCTTATCATTTATAATTTGTCTTAAACTGATAATGAAAAAAATGAAAAATATCTAAAACCACAATTGCTGCGATTAAGAATCTCCTTTCTGGTTACAAAATTATCCTATGTGCTTCCTTTGCATGATGGTGCGGTTTCCAACCAAGATAACAAGTTTCAGAGCTATGAAGTTCCCTCCAAGTTAAAAAGACCTACTCTTTAATTTGCCTCGCAATCAGGGAGGTAGAGAATATAAGTTATAATTCCATGAGTTGCTCATAGTGGTATACTTTGGACAAACCATAGCATTGTAGTGGAAGGGAAGACCCATCGAATTTTTTGTGAACGATTGTAGTTTATGCCCAGGTTCTATAGAACTTTGACAGAATATTTACCAGCTTTCAAATAATGGTTACACTGCTCCTTTATCGCAATACCAGATCCCTACCGATAAAGATAATCCTCGCAGGTTTGGACACCCATTTCAAGATACAACGTCCCATTTCAACTTCACTTAAATTGCCAACATTAAACAAGCATAAAATGCAAAGACGATATACCCTGTCTATGTCGTTTGATAAAAGTGACGGATTTCCTCTTAGCGTCCTTCATCGTTTTAATCCAGATCTCAGTAACATAGAAGTGAGCTTGTTTGCTATGTCAAGGTCCCTATTAAAATCACTTGGCTCTATAGGGCGTAGCTCAAAAGCGGATTTCACCATTTGAAACGTACGTCAATCCGACTAAAGCAAATAGTTATCAGACTGATAGGACATTGTTGCTCAACAGATTATGTCGTCTTTGGCTGCATTTTATCTTTGCCTAATAATAAGTGCCTAATAATGTAGTTAAAATTTTGTGCCGCAGAATTTTACAGTTGTACATATTTCTCCGAAATGTAGTTAATAACAGCTTATCCGGATTCGGATGGATCTTTGACGTGGGTGAGGAGCTGCTTCGATCAGTAATGAAAGAGATCCAACAGCGTCTGTGACTGCAATCTACTGAAGGCAATTTTCTTAGGGTTTCGTGAGGCAGCTGTAAATTCAAGGCCATTGCCAAGGATCAGTTTGTATATGTAGGTACGTCATTATAAAAAACAGTTTCTAATTGCTATGTTTTTGTACTTACAAAGGAGTTTTTTAGCACTCATGTCATAGTCCCACATGCTTACTCGTGGGTTTTCCCACAACGGTAAAGATGAACAATTTAGTTGAACTTAAAAATACTCCACCTGAGGTAGACACGAGCTCTCTGATTTTCACGCTAATGTTGCTGAATGAATTCCATTTAAGATTCAATTCAAGAGAGAAACCAATGCAGTGTCACTGTAGTACTTGCTGTACCTTCGTATATGTTTGTATTATTAACAGAAATAAGGATATATTTGCCTTTTGTTTGGGAGTTAAGTTATAGGGAAGGAGATATGCTCTCAGTCGTTAAGATACCATTCAGAGTGTCTTTGTTACCATGGCAATGACTATTGCATCACCTACCAGTCCAAATCGCCTTCCAGATTTTTGTGTTGTGGAAATTAATTAAGATAGGCACTGTATCTCCCAACCTTGAAAGAGTTCATTGTAAAAACTTAATTTGAAGTTTTTCATAAGATACACTTTTGCTACACCTACTTTGTATCTCTGCTTATAATTACCAAAGCCTCTGTAGTTCAATGAGTCTTTATACTATTATTTGTCATTGGCTTCGGTTTTGGTTTCCAGTACCAAGATGCATCAGCCTCGTTATCATTTGAGTGATGAAATCGAGACTTGTCTAAGCATGGGTTACCTATTTCAACTTCCCAAGCCAATGCTACCGCGCACTACCGCATGTAAATCGCTATATGTTTTGAATGAGCTGTGACAATAAAAACTCCTAGGAAGCATTGGGATTTTATATCCTATTTCCTAATGAAAGATAATTTATTGACTATTTTAAGACTGAAGTAAGTAATAATTTGCTACTCATGGTCCTGACGTTTTCTTTACTCTGAACACAATCAATGGCAACGCTGAAAAAAGGAAAATGTGGTGACCTAGCATTTTAAAAAATTAATTCAGGCTATTAGTCTTGAAATTTCGTAGCTGTGTTATTTTTGCTTCACCAATTGTTGCGTATGTTGGGAAATGTCTAATTTAAATCCGACAAAGCCACAGACCATAGGCGACGATGTGAATAGTTCTGCCTCAGTCTTGGAGTATCGAGTGACGATTGGCTCAGTAAGCCTCTCGCTAAATCAATATCGTTCGTTTTAGGTATTCTCAAGACAAGTGAAAATATTGGTAAAAATGGCAAATTATATTCTAACTTGCTTGGTTTTTTCGTACACATCGGCATTGATCGGCTGTGAGGTAATCGAAGGCGGTGGCACGCCGCATCTGGTACCGCGTATCCAACGCAATACATCAGCTGCAGACGTGCAAGACTGGGCATGGAGCACATTACTCACGCTGCACAATCTCACTTTCCCAGGCGTTCCGCCTTCAGGTTAGTCAAATCTTTATCAGCATATTGGTGTAGTTAATGATTTTCGTACTAAGTGCATCAAATATTGTTTAACGTTTATGGAAAAGCTGTATCAATGAGACTTGAAGCGTTGTGTTTTCAAAACGTCTTGACCGACCAGTTAGACCTCCATCGTACAGCGTAATTTATCTTTTTGAATTCTTCCTCTCGATTCACAAACCGAGTGCAGATTTCCTTTCTATCACTTCATTTAAACGCTTCGGGACACGTAACCTTTCACTTCTTGGGTATTACACCTAGTCTGTCTCTACCAATGCATTTCTTCTGGCCTGATGCGAATCTTTGCCGAGTAATCGATCGACATCGTTGTGTTTTTCAACTGGCATTTGTTTCTTGCCTGACGGAGTTTCTCCGTGTACGTTGTCTCTCATAGGCCAATTTATCAGAAAGTATATCGCGCTCTTACGTTTGTTTTATATCCTAACTATAACGGAAATATTTATGTTAAAAATCTGCATTTTTTAAACAGTAAATTACCACCAAATAGATAATCTATTTGCATCATTAAGTTTCCAGTATATAGGGAAAACTTACAGATATTGTTTAGAACTTCAAATTTAGCTAATCACTCCAGTTTATTATTCAATTCAGCATTAAATTATTGTGTTTCAAACATCAAATTTTTTTGGAATTGTTTTCAACAAGGATATTTAGAGGATTAAACATAGCAGCCAAGGATTCGACATCCTGGGACTAAAGCTTGATTAAGACCAAGAGACTAAATGTCCTTTGAATTCTGATATGTTTTTAGGTTAATAACTTTATATGTATTGACGGGTGTGTCCTATGAAGTATTTTTAGACTTTAATTCAATTGATATGCTTTGGAGTATAGAACCGGTCCGTTCTACGCATCCAAACTCGTACAGCTCTGCCTGAATGGCATCGAGTACTACATGACAGACTGGTAATAGAATCATAAATTCATTAGATTAATTAATTTAATTTAATTTAATTTAATTTAATTATAAATGAAGAATGAGGTATATTCAACACCATTTGAAACTCAAATCTATATTTAGATAAATGCCCGATGAAGTTATGCAAGAAGTTGCAAACGGACGATCATTTTCTCTCCGAGCACTCACGTTTCAAAAATTTGCAGGTTATCCATTTGTAAAAACAGATATGCTATCACGAAAAAAAAAGTTTCATGATAATTGTTTTGCTATTTAGTTATGTTAATCGATATGGTGAAGGCATGAGATAGCACATCGTGCAATCTGATTTTATGAATATCGCCTGCAGCTGAATAAACTACAAATCTAACTACTCCAAAAAAACAAAGAATTATTTATATGTAGCAGTTATAATTATAAATGTCAATCTCATCGCTGCAAGGGAAAATTAAAAATATCCTTCTTCGATTATTGCTCGTTTTTGTACCCTTACTTTTGGTCTTTAATTCATTCCTGGCGTGTTTTGTGAAACATCTAACTCAATCATTAGCCAAGCCTTCTTTGTCTTGCAACAAACATTCAAAGAACGTCCTTTAATGAATCGTAATTAAACTTTTCTGTTCGTTCATGTTATTTTATGTTGTACTGTAGCAATAAACCATTGGATTCACATGAACGTATTGTTTTGTCTCACTTTACCACGATGTATTTAACAACTTATCCAAACAATTTTCTGTTTCCTATGTACCAAGTAAATCGAATCTAAATTTTAAGTGGCTAGATTTTGTTACTGACTTGTTCTTGTAAAGACTTGTTCTCCTAAAAACCTTAGGTGCTCTAAGAAAATATTTCAGATATGGTACATCAATATCAAGATTTTCCTATCACCAAGTCTTTCCTATAATTTCAGGTTATGCATTTTTAATGTGACTTTTTAGGAAATGTCTAGTAACATAATTGTATTTGTTTTGATAAATCGAAAATATTACTCTAATGAAACATTTTTTAGTTACAATTGTATTTCCCGCAAACTAGCTTAACAATCATCTGATTTGTTTTTGTCTAGAGTATAGAAGTTTATTCAATGTTCTGAAGACATATCCATTAAATTTGGATTGGTTAGTTAATCCAGTTTATAATTTGAGCTATCTTTTTACATCTTTCTATATTTGATAAGACCTTCAAAAAGCATCAAAATCCCTTTTTCAAAAACATTGGCTGGAAGTTTACAACTTTCTTCGCTCGTAGTTCTATCTGTTTCTCTGTATTTCTATCTTAGCTCTGAAGTAGAGAAATCTTTTCCTTTTTTCAGAAGTGTCAGAAACAAAAGTGCAACCGACAAACAATACTTGTGTTATTAACGAATATCTAGCATGATAGTTTGATATAGAAAAGAAGAGATAAATTTGCAATTCTTCAATAAAAATCTTTATCTAGGTTTATCCGATTGGTTTTGCAGACAGTTTAAACAAAACCAAAACTCGCACAAGATTTTTTGTAATACGAAATTGGATCGAGTTCCAATCGACTGAAAGCTTGTAATACAAGGCGAAACCAAACATTGTAACAAAAAAATCATTACTTTCTGTGTAGATTCATTACATTGGATGAACAGCTACTAACTTGGTGAACACGATCAATACAACTTGACATTTGTTAGAACATTTTTTGGCAAAAATTTGTGTCTTAACTCTAGTTTACCCAAGCAAAATAAGCTCCTTGTTCAGGGCCTCTGACGGAGAGGCGCTGGAGGCGCCATGCCCCCACTTTTTACAAAACAGTAGAGCTTTCTTCAAAAACTTTTGTTATGGGGGTTATATTTACCCTTGACCACCCCTCCCCTTTTCAACATGTGTCGGGGCCCATGTAGTCCAAATGTTTCTCCGTGAAATGATTGTCCAATATTTGCCATACGATTATCATTCATAATGTTATTCGATCTGATATCCAATATAACATGTAAAACTTACAGCATGCCAGTAGGTTTCTACAGCTCATAGTCTTTAATCTCAATTGAACTTATGGTTTTTGCAGACACGACATGTGGATGAAAGAATGAGCCAGCGTTTTGTTACTTCGATAAGGTACCGGGAATTGAAATCGGTGCGAGAGCAGGCTTTTAAACACAAGTATGATAGCTGTAGCATTTACATCCTCTCCAAGTCTTTCCATCTAGCATGTCTCCTATCGTCCATGCTTCATCTTCTGTTGTCCTTTTATGAAATTATTTCACCGTTGATTACCTTTGATAGAACCTTTCCTTGATTTCCTGATTTCCATAGAATTAACCAGCGCATACGAAATCATCGTTTAAGCAAAGACCTATTCCCGCATAAGCAGAAGCATGTTTATTTTCACGAATAAGCAAATGCATTCGAGGGGAGGGGGGGGGGGCGGTTGTTTTGTGTGTTGAACTTTAACTTCTTCATTGAATTCGAACACACCAGAGAAGAAAAATGAAAATTGTGATGGTTCCTTTCAACCCGTCACCGAGGCCGTTAACCATTCTATTCATCATGAACTTTTCTGAGTCTCCCAGAGCATCCATCTTCAATTCTTTTTAGGAGCTGTCCTGGTAGAACGCTTTTGACTCACTAACTTTTCTTGACCCTGCCAAATACATTGATACATTTTTTTAGAAGCTTGCTTTCTATTCTACACACAAACGATATCTTTGACTATGATCTAAACAAACTCTTTGAGGTAAATAGCCTGAGTTTAAAATGAAGATCTTGAAATGTGTTCTATCGTCCTGTGAGTCGAAGTGTGTCCAAATATGTATTTGAAAATTTTCCAATAAATTTACGTAGTCCCAACTTCAGTCAAGAGTCCACACGATAAATCACATCACAGCCTTTATGCCCATGCCTGATTTGAGGGACCCGCTGGCCGCTATTTAAATTTAGCATCGGCCTTTTTAGGCCAGGTCATTCACTTGAAGATGGGCTGGCCAACAATTATGTCGAAATCCTTTAGATAGAGATGGGCCTAGATAGAGAACTGCTTAAGGTTTGCCTTCTGAACTGGGCACCTGGATCCAATCAATCAAGCTTGTATTGATAAGAATGTCTTCAAACAAACTCAGTCTATTTAATTCGATTTAAAATCTTTATCACTAGCTATTAGCTATAGGATATTTTCAGATTCCTTCTTTCAAAATAAGAGGCTTTTGGTCAGGGCTTGTGAATTAAAGCTCGCAGATCGAAGCGTTAAACGTTGCACTGTCGGTTGCACTCAGTGGCGGAGGGGGGATAGGGGGATAGTCCCCCTCCCCCCACTTTTTCAGAAAGTTGGTCCTTGAAATTCCTTCAAACCTGATGAGAAAACTTCAGGGGGGGGGGGGTATGTACGTTATCTAGATCGTCACATGTAAATGGCATTTCTTGGGAGACAACAGATGTTTTCTCCGGAAGAAAAAGTTTCAAACAGGGGGGAAGGGCGTGGTCCCTGACACACCTTTTGCCCCCCCCACTTATCCCAGCCTGGAGCCGCCACTGGTTGCACTGATGTTCAAAAATCATCTTTCCAGGTATGCTCAATCAGGGCAATATCTCACTGTGTCAGCTGTTGCACTAAAATGCGCGAATTAGTGTAGAAAGTCTGATGGAAGTCTTAAGGAAGGATATACAATGCCTGCCAAAAGTACTTGGAACACCCAGCAATTTACGCTGCATTTGATATCTTTCCTTCCTTTCATGAAAACTACTTCCGCCCCCTTTCCTCTAAAACAATGTTGATGATTTAGAGAAATATCATAAAAGAAACGCAAAAGAAAGTGCCTCCTACAATCCTAACCCGTTTGATAGTAAACCATCATTGTTCTGTAGGTGAGAGGGGGATGATTGATTTTGATCTTGGAAATTGATGTCAGTGTTCCAAGACTTTTGGCAGGCATTGTAGATATTGGATCGTTGGTCAGTTTGCAACGTATTGTATCTTATTCTAAATTTTAGTTAAGACCTTAGGTTTTCACCTTTCAAAGGCTGTGGCGATAAAGTAGGAAGTATCAAACACTTTCTATAATTAATTGTCTAGATCTTCTTTTTTTACATATGACCACGAG